AACAGGCCCTTTGGCCCAACAAGTCCACACTGACCCTTAGAGCACACCACCCAGACTCATCCACCTAATCTACACATCCCTGAACACTACGGGAAATTTAGCATAGCCAATCCACCTAGCCTGCACATCTTTGGAGGAAACCCGCACAGACACAGCGAGACCATGCAAATTCCACACAGACAGTCGCCTGAGAGTGGAATCGAACCTGGGTCCGTGGTGCTGTGAGGCAGCAGTGCTAACCACTGAGCCACTTTACTCCAGTAACATTACTGCCATTCCTGACTACACCAAGCTTGGCTTTGGGATTGTGGAAGAGATAGAGTTGAAGATTGAATGATGAATTGGAAAAGGAAGAGATAGAATTGGAGGCAGAGCAATGAGTCTCGATTTCAGTAGAAGAGAGGAGTAAATTAATACATTGTGGTTAACAGCATGTTAAGGATGGACCAGTTCCGATAGTCCAACAATTACTTTGCTGGTAAGAATCCAACAGTGACTTCATTTCTGTTTTCTCTGTCTGGATGCTGTCAATGTGAAAGTTCTAAGATGTTAACCATCCCATCTGAGTTCATCCCATTCCATAAGTCAGCTCCTTCATTTTGATAAAAAGTCAACGAACCATTGGCTAACAAATTATTCACTGTTAGCCATTGCACTAATCCTTTAAAGTTTTCATGAAAATATAAGTTAATTATTTTCTCTGCCAAGTTCTCTCCCTTCCTTAGACCAAATAATGTTCTCCAAGGCAAATGTGATCCAACTGAGTCTGTTTGACATAAACCTTGTTCACAGGATTAGAGAAATCTATCGTTCCGTTTCAGCCAAAACATGGTTTCTGTAATTAACATAAACCTCAGATTCCTGGGTTAGAGCTACTATTAATTAAAGTACGAAAGGCTAAGTAAAAACATTGTAAAGGATTAAAGATTAAAGAAGTAAGGAAAGATAAGTCACTCATGAAAGGATTTCAGGAAGCAGTGGGCAGGGAAAGCAACATTTCCCAATGCATTTGATGTAAGGGAGAACTTTGAAAGATGCCCAGCTCTTCCTTATTCAAATAGAAAAGATGATTTAATTTGCAAAATGAACATGCATTTTCTCAATTTCTTGAGATATTAATTTTTGTGGAGATCCAATTCCTTAAGCCAATCCAGACCAAACTCAAGAATGAATCATTCACACAAGATCCCTGTGATTGGAAAGATGTTGTGAAACTTGAAAGGGTTCTGGAAAGATTTACAAGGATGTTGCCAGGGTTGTAGGGTTTGAGCTATAGGGAAAGGCTGGGGCTATTTTCCCTGGAGTATTGAAGGCAGAGGGGTGACCTTATAGACGTTATAAAATCATAAGGGGCATGAATAGGGTAAATAGACAAGGTCTTTTCCACAGGTTGGTGTCAAAAACGAGAGAGCATAGGCTTAAGGTGAGAGGAGAAAGATTTAAAAGGGACCTAAGGGGCAACTTTTTCACATAGAGTATGGTGTGTGTATGGAATGAGCTGCCAGAGGAAGTGGTGGAGGCTGGTACAATTACAACATTTAAAAGGCATCTGGATGGGTGTATAATAAGAAGGGTTTAGAGGGATATGGGCCAAATGCTGGCAAATGGGACTACAATAATTTAGGATATTTGGTCGTTATGAATGAGATGGACTGAAAAGTCTGTTGCTGTGCTGTACATCCCCATGGCTCTATGACTATTTATGTTGATGGGTGTTATCAATTGTCATAATCAATCACTTCGATAACCATCACTTTACTCAATGACTCCCACATCTCCCCACCCCCACCCCGCATGTCCAATTTGCACACTCTTATCCTTAGCACAGTTTATACTTTCTCTCATTCCGGCTAATCCTCTGTCAATTTGTCACTATCTTCACTTCCTTAATTCCAAAGAATTTGGTGAATCTCACCTGCGGCTGATGTACCAATCCATGGAGTTGGGCCATATAGTGTGCTACTGGGACATAATAGGTAAACGTTGCAGATACCGGAAATTTGTCATAAAAGCAGGAAGCGCTGGGATTATTCAACCAGGTAACAGGTTTTAGCCAAGTGAAGTGCTGGGGGCTGGAGGGGGTGTGGAGCGGGTTTGGGAGGGGAACAGTGGGAACAAAGGCAAGGTCTATGGAAGAAGGGGAAAGGGTCCTATTATTTGATCCCTTATGCCAAAACAGCCCCAATTTCAGAAACATTCTGGTGTGGAAAAAAAGATGTCATCTCTCCTGCCTCCTGCCTGGATTTCTTTTTGCCCTCTCAGCCAATTTTGGCACAGAGCACCCTTCCTCTTGCTCTAACCACCCTCTCCCCAAGCCAACCCAGTCTCCCTCAGACACATTAACACCCTACTCTCCACTCAACATATTTCTCTGATTTCTCTCTGAGTTCGGTTTGTTCATAAAATTGGCCTCCCATTCCCTATTTCTAGGAAATTGCCAGCCAGCTTTCCTTCCTATGCCCTATGTTATCCCACTCTTAGAAGGGTCTCTTTCCCCTTTTGTACAGCTCCCCTTCCTATCAAAACCATTATGTTTACTCCATCCCACTTTCGGTCTTCCAGCATACTGTTCGCAAGCTACTCTGCCATCTTTATAAAAAAATTTTCAAGGGATCTATTGCCCATCCCTAATTGCCCAGAGGCAGGTTAGAATCAACCACATTGCTGTGGGTCCGGAGTCACATGCAGACCAGACCAGGTAGGAATGACAGATTTCCTTCCTTAAAAGACATTAGTGACCCAGATCGCTTTTTACAGCAATTGACATTGGCTACCTGGTTATCATTAAGACCAACTTTTGAGGCATTTCTGAAGAAGGGGTCCCGACCCGAAACATCAGCTTTCCTGCTCCTCTGATTCTGCCTGGCCTGCTGTGTTCCTCCAGCTCCACACCGTGTTATCTCTGACTCCAGCATCAGCCGTTCTTACTATCTCTTTTGAAACTCTCCAATTTCTCTCAGTGTCAATAAATCTTAAACATTATGTCACCTTCTAAATCGGTGCTTTCATGTTGAGTGCCCAATCAGATTTGCATCCATATCATAACAGTGAAACACCCTTAGCCTAAGCCCCAAATTACATCTTGTGTGGGATGTTCATGTATTCTATCCCTTTCACAATCTCTCTGACTTGACAGGGGTTCACCTCCCACTGTCCTCCAACACATTTCTTTTGTTTAGGGTCAGTTCAATGGGATTACCCTGTGACAGCATCAGGCCAGACCACCTCTTCCCATCCAGCAGTGTCACTGGTGGGGTGCACCAGGAATCTGTGGGAATATCAGTCCTCACTGACCTGGGGACTAACAAGGACCAAATGCAAAGGTGATCCAACCCATTAACATCTCTAAATTATAGGCCTCTGCCACGGTCTAGAACCTCACACCCTCTTCTTCCAGAACATCGACATAATGCACCCCGACCCATCCATTCCTGTTGCCTATAGCTCCCCATTGCATTGCTCACAAACACACACACACACACACACACTATCAAGCACCTCCCACAGCAAAGTGACCCTCATATTTTTCAATCTTTGACAGAGGGACTGCTACCAAACTGAGACATAATGAGGGTATTTTGAGGGCTCTGGTTTGACAAGAGTTAAAGTACCATCAATCTTTCTGTAGAAGTTCAGTTGTGGTGAAGCTCACTGCTCTGCATTTCTTGTTGCCTGCAGAATGGGATTGTGTCCTGAACTGCCTTGTTATTTCCAGGAAAGCAAGGGGAAAGGACGAGGCCCATCTGCAGTTTTAATCTTACCTCTTTCTGTTTCTGTTTCCGTGAATGCTCAAACTTACATGGGTTACTGACACATAAGTAACTATAAATCGTTTCACTGATTTTCAGCATGTTTGCTGTAGTATACTTTTATATGATTGTTGCCACTTTATTTTATTAATGCAGTCTTTTTTCTTTTCATTCATAAAATCTGAATTTTTAAAAATTCATTCATGGGATGAGAATGTCACTTGCTGGACCAGCATTTATTGCCCATCCCTAATTGCCCAGAGGGCAGTTAAGAGTCAACCAATAGGGAGGGGGGGAGGGGGGTTGGGTAGGGAGTAAATGATAGGATAGAGCCCAAAGAGACAGAAAGACAGTTGGACAGACAAAGGAGTTGCTATTGATCAGGCTGGGAGGGTGAATAGTACATTAACAGCTATTCACCCTCCCAGCCTGATCCAACTGTCTTTCTCTCTCCTTGGGCTCTATCCTATCATTTACTCCCTAACCCACCCACCTCCCTATTTTTCTGCACATAAACTGACGTTTTCCCAGCCACCAAGGGTTCTGAGGAAGGGTCGCCAGACCCGAAACGTTAACTCTGTTTTCTCCTTCACAGATGCTGCCAGACCTGCTGAGCTTTTCCAGCAACTTTGTTTTTGTTCCTAATTTACAGCATCCGCAGTTCTTTTGGTTTTTATTTAAGAGTCAACCGCATTGCTGATGGATGTTGCTGATAGATGGGCATTGCATCCCTAATTGCCCTTGCAAAGGCAATGGTTAGCTACCTTCTTGAACCATTGCTGACAGCAGGGATACAGACAATGCTGTTAGGGACAGTATTCCAGGTTTTTGATAGTGTGGGGATATAGTTCCAATTCAGGATGGTGTGTGGCTTGGAGGGCAGCCAGCAGTTGGTGGTGTTCCCAGTGTCTGCTGTCCTGTTCTTTCTGGGAATGGAGGTCACAAGTTTGGAAGGTGCTGTTGAATGACCATTGGCAACTGCAACTGCATTGCATCTGATAAATAGTAGATACTACTTTCAGTAGGAACACATTACTGCAGATGCTGGGATCTGTACTGAAAACAACAAATGCTGGAGATCACAGCAGGTCAGACAACATCCATGGAGACAGAGCAAGCTAACGTTTCGAGTCTAAATGACTCTTCATTGGCGCTGTGGATGCTGTAAGCTCCAGCATTTGTTGCTTTCGGACACTACTATCACTTGTGTTGTTGCATATTTAAGGTCTAACTTTATTTTATCTCCCAAAGTAATGCTGCTGGAGTTCATGGGGCTTTTTGCCAGAATTCTTTACTTACATAAGGCCTGATCAACATAAGCATCCTGTCAGCACTGTGTTATATTCTGCCACAGTAGCGCATTGGAAATCAAATCACACAATCCCTGCAGCCATTCCGAAAGCGAAAGATTTCATCCAGGTATGGAAAAAAACCCCTAATTTATCTATCCACTTCTACCCAGTAAACAGAAACCGCAGACCAGGTTTCTGTACTTAACAAGAACTACTGATCATTACAAATAAATAGATTGAAGCCACACATGGGTGGAAAGGTCTGTTTCCATGCTGTGTAGCTGTATGATTCTATAAACAACAATGAACTGTTGACATATAGTGTTGTTAGTTAAACCATGTTATAATTCCCCCAGACACACGCACACAGACACTCACACACACACAGACATACACACTTACACACAAACACACGCAGACACATGCACACACACACACTTGCGCGCACACTGTCACACAAACACACATACACAACCACACATACATACACCCACAGACACACACTCATACACACATACATGCACACTCTCCCATGCACACACACACAGACATACACACATAGATATACACACTCAAACATACACGCACGCACAGATATACGCACATAGATATGCACACACAGACATACACACATAGATATACACACTCAAACATACACAC